AAAAGTTGTTAAGCAAATCACTGCAGTTCTTAAGCGAGTTAACACGATTGCTAAGTGACTCCGGCTTCCTCATTGACCTGGCTTGTCAGAAGCGGGAAATCACACGACTCGTCACCCCCCCCCCGGGGACTCTGCGGCCGTCATAAATACGAGTCAGCGGTCTCGATTTTGATCCCGTGACTGTGGAGATGCTGCAACGGCCTTCAAGTTCATCATCATCTTCTTTGAATGACCCCATAATCCCTTGTGGGTGGAGTCTGGGCAACTAAAATGGAGCTGAATATTTTTACTGGCCCGTGGCCTTTCCTGTTGCCAGTGAGGAGTTACGTTCGGCAGATAATATTCTCATTGTGCCCGGAGAGAGTGAAATATCCGCCTCTACCTAGGATCGAATTCACAGCCCGCTGATGGTGAGGTGAGAGCGCCCCCTCTAGGCCACCGCGCCACTCGGATGCCGAAAAACGGACCCCCGTCGCTTTTTTTCGGCGACGTAACTTCAAACCGTCACTAAGCGAATGGGGATTACCCACGTTTAGGGTGCTTGCTGTGTCCCGCAGTCACATGATCATGGGATTAGCAACCTTCCCCAGGGTGGGGGTGTTGCAACAAACAATATCAGGCCACACGATTCGCTTAATGACTGCCTCCCCCCCCCAAAAAAACCCTCATATAATCATGTGCGGCTCATTGAACAACCGCCAAGTCCCAACCCCGTTTTTGGTCGTAAATCGAGGACGACCTGAAACAGGTAATTAGACTCCCGTTTTACTCGGGAACCCTCAACTCCCCAAGTTACTTACGAGTCTCCGAAGAAGAATTTTTTCCTGCCGAGGCGTTGCGACAGAAGGGTGAGACACTCACAACCGTCTCGATAAAGCTGCGGGTAGCAAAAACAACAACAACAACCACCTTCTATTTTTTCAGTGCAGACTCAGGCAGCAGATGGCAGAAAGGTAGATCTCTGAGTGAATCTGTGATTCTGCGAACGACTCAATCTGCCTGCCTGCTTTGCTTTCTTTTGGGTAAAAGTTGCTCTTTTTTTAATAAAAAAAAAAATTCAATCTTTACATTAAATATTTGCAATCTTTACATACAAGCCACGCCCAGTCCCATGACCCCCAAGGCCACGCCCACAGAACCGCCTGTTAAGAAATTGGAATCCCACCCCTGTCTTTCCTTCACCTGTTTTTCCAGCTGCTCTTCGTCGTCCTGCCAGTTTTCCCCGCAGACCGTCTGCAAACGCTCCAGCTGCCGTTTCTGCATTCGGCTCGGCAGGAAAAAATTAAGTGGGAACGGAATGGCTTCCGCGTACCACTTCCGCGTGTGCTCCACGTAATTCTTCGCGTCCACCCAGAAAGTGTGGATCTGTCGGAAAGGAGGAGAATCCCAACGGTGAACTTACCCCAAAACCTCGGTTAGAGGAGGAAAAAGGAGAAAAAATAAAATAAAAAAGTAAAAAAATGCCAAGGAGCAAAGTTTCTAGTCCACATGAGGGAAAAGTCCCCCCCCCCCAAATTGGTGAGGCTAGTAGATGCAATAGAACGATTTTATACATTTTATTAAATTTTCCCCTTTAAAAAACAAATTCTACATGCATTTTTGCAGTTATTTGTGATAATAGTTATACCATTCTCCTGTACATATACATACGCTATTTACAATTACTTTTTTAAAGCTTCTACTTTTGCATTATATTTTCTTTCTATTGTCTAACCAGACATTCCCCGGCTGTATAGTCTTCTATTTCTTTCCTCTCCTGCAATTCCATTGTGAATTCGTTCATTTCTGCGCCATCCATTACTTTTTTCTTTTACAATCATGTCATCTGTGGGCGTACTATCGAATTTTCCAATTTTGAGCATATAGTCTCTTAGCCACTGTTAAAATGTGTGTAAGCGGGAAGCGGTAAGAATTAAACAAGCTTCTTCCATCCAATGAAAAAACATTGTGTGTGTGCGTGTGTGTGTGTGTGTGTGTAAGAGAAGAAACAGACATCTTGCAATCTCCAGAACTAAAATTATATTTACTTGCTTCCCCCCGCCCAAAAAAAACTCACCAACATGGGCAGGAGCTTCCTCTTTACCAGAGAAAGGAAGGCTAGTGTGTCCGCTCCTTGCAACGCCGAGAGATCGTAATCTGCATTAAATTGCTAAATGAGAATAAGAAAATAAAAATAATAAAGAATAGACAAGAATAATAGAATACAATAGAATTCTAAGAATAAGAATAGAATAGAATAGAACAGAATAGTAGAATAATAATAAAGAGAATAGAATAGAATATAGAATAAAAATGAATAAGAACAGAACACGAGTGGAATAATAATGAATAGAATAGAGTAGAATTCTAAGTATAAAAATAGAAGGAAATAGAATAGAATATAGAATAAGAATGAATAAGAATAGAATAGAATAGTAGAATAATAAAAAATAGAATAGAATAATAATAACAATAAGGGATAGAATAGAATAAGAATGAATTAGAATAGAATAATAAAAAATAGAGCAGAATAATAGTAACAATAAAGGTTAGAATAGAATAAGAATGAATTAGAATAGAATAGAATAGTAGAATAATAAAAAATAGAGTAGAATAATAACAATAAAGGATAGAATAGAATTAGAATAAGAATGAATAAGAATAGAATAGTAGAATAATAAAAAATAGAACAGAATAATAACAATAAAGGATAGAATAGAATTAGAACAAGAATAAATTAGAATAGAATAGAATAATAAAGAAAAGAATAGAATAGAATAATAATAAAAAAGAATAGAATAAGAATGAATAAGAATAGAACAGTAGAATAATAATAGAGAATAGAATATATTTCTAAGAATAAAAACAGAATAGAACAGAACATTAGAATAATAATATAGAATAGAATTAGAATAAGACTAGGGATAGAATAGTAGAATAATAATAAAATAAAATGGAATGGAATAGAAAATAGGGCAGAAGAGAACCTTGAAGGTCATCTAGTCCGGCCCCCTCAAGGAGGAGAACCGTCCTATACCATCTCAGACAACTGACTGTCCAGGGTTGGACTAGAAGACCTCCAAGGCCCCTTTTCCGCTCTATTCAATTCAAGCAGGACCATCCACCCCGTTCATATACCTGCTTCCTAAAATGGGTGATGATTTCCTGCGTATCGGAAAAAACTCCGTCCGAGGTCTTGAGCGCCGGGAGCGATCCTGCCATGAAAAAATAATAATAAATAGCAGGTTGGGGGGGAAGAGAGGCAGTGGGGGGGGGGGGGGAAGCCCCCTTTAAGCCCCCCCCCCCCCCCCCCCCCCCCCCCCCAGGCTGGAGTCTCTCTCCCTCCCACCCGTTTCCCCATCCCTCTTGAGGACTAGAAACCTGCCCACCTGCCCGCGGTGGGGAAAAAATTGAAATCTTTTCCCAGGCAATGAAAAAACAAAATATCAAAACTTTCCAAGCAATTCACAGGAGGGGGGTTTGTTGTTGTTTTTTTCCTAACCCCCACCCCCAAAAATATAACTTACCGGAGGGGCTTCTCCAGGGGTTGGTGATTTTGTGAACTTTGAGGGGAGCCCCTGTGAATCGAGCATAAGTCTGCAAGGGGGAGGAAAAAAAAGAGGAAAAATAAATGAATGCATCCTCAGCAACAGACCCCCCCCATCCTCTTCATATCTTAGTAATCCAAATTATTCTGAATTTCTTCCTTCAAATATTCTGCTTTGCAAGCACCAAAGTAGCAATAATCTGGGTCTCTTTTTTTTTCTTCTTCTTTCGGCTGGGGGGGGGGAAAGGAAGGGGCCCGGGCGACCCAATTTTTGCAGACGCCCCCATCTACCCCACACACGCCAACAACAGCCCATGGTTGCAATGCTTTCCCCCCCCACTCCCCCTGCGGGCGCTCGGTTGGAGAAGAAGGCAGCGCCCCACGCTTTTGCAAATTTAAAAAAATAAATGCACTTTGCAAATTTTTTTTAAAAAAATGCGCTTTGCAAATTTTTTTTAAAAAATGCGCATGGCAAATTTTAAAAAAAGCGCATTGCAAACCAAAAAGTGCTCTGAAAACAAAAAAATGCAAAAATTAAAAAAAGCGCATTGCAAATTAAAAAAAAAGCGCTTTGCAAATTGAAAAATATGCGCTTTGCAAACAAACCAAATGCGCTTTGCAAAAATAAAAAAGTAAAAATAACCGTTCTGGAACAAAAAAAACCAACCAAAAGTGTGCTTTGCAATAATAATAATAATAATAATAATAATAATAATAATAATAATAATAATAATAATAATAATAATAATAAAGATGATGATGATAATGATAATGATAATGATAATAATAATAAGCGCTTTGCAAAAGCAAAAACAAAAAAAACGCAATCCGGATTTGCAAAGCCCGCTTTGGAGAAGTTTGCATGCAAAATCCCCCCCTCTCTCTCCCCTCCCCACCTCACCAAAACGGCCAAGCAATCGGGGTCGACGGTGGGCAACCCCCACCCGCCGGCCCAGCAATACAACTCCATGGGCGCCGCCATCTTTCCTGGCTTTTGCTAACCCGGAACAGCATTAAACAAGAGAGAGAAAGAGAGAGAGAGGAAAATAGGAGTGACTCCGATTTAGACCGCTCCAGCCTTTGGGGCTCTTCCGCCCTCCTCTGTCCAGGCTTGCAAAATGCAACCCCGGTGCTTCTTTTGCAAACAGCGGCTTGGCTGGCAACCCTTCACACGTTCCTAGCAGCCTCGCCTGCCGCATATATAGACACGTGTTGGGTTGCAAAAGCGGGCGGCGAGTGGGTTTAGCCTTTCTGCATAAAGCGGCGCAGGGAGGGGGGGTTCTTAGGAAACCGGTTGCATGTTAAAGGGGATTTTTTTTGTGGGGGTGGGGTGGGGAGAGGGGCGTGAGAACCCCTGCAGTGCCTTATAGGGGGGGGGGGGGGAGGCTGGGAGGTTAAAGTAGAGGGTGGATGGATTGCAAAGGCCAGAATCCTGGGCTTCCTGCCTCTTTATTTTCTAGCTAATCTAGTTTTCCATCTTCAGGGGTTGGACTAGATGACCTCCAAGGTCCCTTTCCATCTCTGTTATTATTCTGCTTATTCTGCTTGAGCAAGGGGGTTGGACTAGATGACCTCCACGGTCCCTTTGTGTCTCTCTTTGTCTTATTCTCTTATTATTCTGCTATTCTGCCTGAGCAAGGGGTGGGACTAGATGACCTATAAGGTCCCTTTGCGTCTCTCTTACTCTGTTATTATTCTGTTATTATTCTGTTATTATTCTGCTCGAACAAGGGGGTTGGACTAGATGACCTCCCAGGTCCCTTTCCGTCTCTGTTATTGTTCTGTTATTATTCTGCTCGAGCAAGGGGGTTGGATTAAATGACCTATAAGGTCCCTTTGCGTCTCTCTTATTCTGTTATTATTCTGCTCGAGCAAGGGGGTTGGACTAGATGACCTCCAAGGTCCCTTTGTGTCTCTCTTTGTCTTATTCTCTTATTATTCTGCTATTCTGCCTGAGCAAGGGGGACTAGATGACCTATAAGGTCCCTTTGCGTCTCTCTTACTCTGTTATTATTCTGTTATTATTCTGCTCGAGCAAGGGGGTTGGGCTAGATGACCTCGGAGGTCCCTTGTTTTCCTAACCATCTCCCTTTTCAACCCCTCCCCTCCCCCCTAATCCTTGCCAGACCTCTTGAAAACTGGATGGGATTATGATGGCCGGGATCTTTCCATTACGACGA